CACGAACAGACACACGTACGCACGAACTGACACACGCACGCACGGACACACGTACGCACGAACAGACACACACACGCACTAACAGACACACGCACGCACAAACAGACACACGTAAGCACGAACAGACTCACGCACGCTCAAACACACGTATGCACGAACAGACACACGTACGCACGAACAGACACACGCACGCACGAACAGACACATGCGCGCACGAACACACACGCACGCACAGACACACGCACGCACGAACAGACACACGCACGCACGCACGGCCGGACGTACAGCCGGAAATAGTCGGTACAGCTTCCTAGGACTTTAAAATTGGAAATCTTAATGAAAAATTATTAATTTTCAAAGCGGAAAGTTAAAAAACCAGGGAGACTTAAAGTAGTTGCATATGTGTAATATCTGACATCTCACCTTAGTAATAAGCAACATTAACATTATATCCTGAAAAAAGTTATTTGCCTTTTTTTTTCAATTGAGCAGCGTCAGAAATTAACCTCAAAATTTATAAAAGCTAAATAATGAAAAATATGTATTTATTCAAATATATGTTCATTATTACTAAGAATATTCGTTTCATATTTGGTATTCAGCATATTCGGCAGCTTTAAAGTGACTTTCAATAAGTATTGTTATAATCTACATTAAATAAAAAAGTTTCTGTTTCTGTTTCTTTACCGAATATTCGTATTCAGCCGAATATTAGGCCGAATCACCGAACATTCGTTAAAGTGGTCCTCAAAGTGTCCACTGTATTGAAATGTATGAATTGTGTAATGCCATGTCTTTCATAATTTTGCTGTTGAAAGTATATTTTATTTATGAGTTAAATCTTCTTATACAGGGTGTCCGGTTTCCGATGTCCGATACTTTAAGGGGTTAAAATACAATTAATTTTATCGACAAATCAGAGATCAATGATTTTTTTTTCGCCATCAATAAAAAAAATGGCAGCACTTAAAAAAAAATTGTTGGCGAAGCATAGATGCTTGTATTAATTTAACAATATCTACCCAAGTAGAAGACTTTCAAAAACAAAATTGGTCTCAAATGTTAGTTAATAGTGTAGACAATAAATCTAGATTCAAAATATTATTTTTTAATTTTTCAGTATTAGTAAAAACATTTTTGAAAAAAATAAATTAGACAACAAATTAATGTTGTTTTTCAGATTCTTAGCTTTAAAAAAAAACCATCGTGTTAACAATTTTTTTTACTTGTTTTTATTATAATACAGGATATTACCTATAAATGCACATTTAAATCTTAACTCTGAGTTAGATAGTTTAGGAGCTATGATAATTTGAATGTAACTGTTCAAAGTGCCTCTACCCCGATATTAGATAACTAAACACCCATTCCAGTGAGTAAGATAAAATTCTTCAATAATTCAAGGAATCGTAAGCAAGCACAATAGCATCCTTTGTGTGAGCAGGTAAAAAACGCTGTGCACAACAGTGCGAGCGAGACAGAATAACGGCTGTCTCCAGGTAAAAAAGGGTGCAGTGTGCGCTTGTGCCGTCGAGCAGTCGTCCCTCGCTCTGCGTTGTAATAACATTCCTGGTTTTAAGTAAATCTACTTACTGTACATAATTATTGTTTGTTGTTAGACTTTGTTATGTTTTTGTTTTGTTGTTGAACTGTTACTTTTTGTTTATTACAATGAATGAGTACTCAAGCCAGCATATCGCTGACATCCATTTCGTGTATGGATTGTGTAACGGGAGTGCAAATAGAGCTGTTGTAGAGTATGCACGCAGATTTCCTAACAGACGTACGCCGAATGCTCGCACTTTCGTGAGAATTCATTTGAGACTTGCGGAAAATGGAATAAGAAGGCTCGGTAACGAACGTACTCGTGTTTTGTCGCTCCAAGATGAACATCAAATATTGCAAATGATTACTCAAGACGTCTCAGTCTATCAAAATGGTCGGTGTGGAAAATTTTAAAAAGAGAAGGATTACATCCTTACCATTTTCGAAGGGTGCAAGAAATACTGGAACCGGATTATGTAAGAAGAGCAATATTTTGTTCGTGGATATTGAGAGAAACGCGATACGATCCAAACTTTTTAAAAAGAATTATGTGGACAGACGAAGCTACTTTCACGCGATCAGGGTATACGAACTACCGTAACGAACACCTGTGGCTTCAAGAAAATCCACATGCGATCCGCCCAAGTTCTTTTCAACATAAATTTTCTGTCAACGTTTGGGCCGGAATGATTGACGACATTCTAATTGGACCAATCATTTTACCGGAGACAATGAATAGCCCAAGATTCCTAAATTTCCTGGAAACGAATTTTTTGGATGCTTTATTGGAGTTACCATTGGCCTACAGGGCCAGAATGATTCTGCAATTGGATGGTGCTCCGGCACACTTCACGCTTCTTGTGCGGAATCATTTAAATGCACACTATTCGTCGTGGATCGGACGCGGAGGAACAATTGCTTGGCCACCGCGGTCGCCGGATTTAACACCTCTCGATTTTTTTTTGTGGGGCACACTCAAACGAAGAGTGTATGTAAATGTGCCAAATACACGAGAGGAGTTAGCAAAAAAAATAATTCAAGCAGCAAACGAATTGCGAGAAGACAAGGCAATGATCTAGCGCTCTACGCAACACGTTGCACTAAGAGCAACAGCATGTCTGCAGAGACAAGGAGGTCACTTTGAGCAGTTTTTGTAATTATTTTGCCAAATTAAATGCAATTGATATAATAAATTATTTTGTTTTATTTCATTTGCTAGTGTATCCGCGCTTTTCAAGTAAGTATGTTTACACTGTCATAGCTCCTAAACTAACTCAGAGTTAAGATTTAAATGTGCATTTATAGCAAATATCCTGTATTATAATAAAAACAAGTAAAAAAAATGGTTAACACGATGGTTTTTTTTAAAGCTAAGAATCTGAAAAACAACATCAATTTGTTGTCTAATTTATTTTTTCAAAAATGTTTTTTACTAATACTGAAAAATTAAAAAATAATATTTTGAATCTAGATTTATTGTCTACACTATTAACTAACATTTGAGACCAATTTTGTTTTTGAAAGTCTTCTACTTGGGTAGATATTGTTAAATTAATACAAGCATCTATGCTTCGCCAACAATTTTTTTTAAAGTGCTGCCATTTTTATTGATGGCGAAAAAAAAATCATTGATCCCTGATTTGTCGATAAAATTAATTGTATTTTAACCCCTTAGTATCGTATATATTTTAACCCCTAAGTATCGGACATCGGAAACCGGACACATTGTATAGTGTTATGTGTTTGAGGCACTGTAGATTATTTCCAATTATAGCAAACACAGAAACATTACATTAATACATTTCACCTTACTTTGGTTATCAGTTTCTCTAAAATAAGCCCAAATAGTTGATCTCCTGCCACTCATTTTTATCATATCCTATACTATTAAACGAGCAATTCTTGTATATATATATATAATCGGGATCTCGGAAACGGCTCCAACGATTTTCATAAAATTTTGTGTCCAGGGAGTTTCGGGGATAATAAATCGATCTAGCTACGATTTATTTTTAAAAAATGTCTTTTTGTCCGAGTTTTTAGGCAATGAAAAACTGCTACAATATCGTTAGAATAAGAAGGTAAATTTAGACAGATTGTTAATGATTATAAATAGCTTAATTGGTATAATGGGCGTTCACAGAATCGTAAAACCCCGGTTCGAGCCCCGACCGACCGACTTTTTTTAAACTTTTTTTTCAAGTTCCTTTCTTTTGTGAGAAAATCTATTTTTTCGAGCCCTTTTTTCAGTATTTTTTAAAAACACGAAAATTAAAATTAAAATAATTGCACTCATGATTTTTTATTCAAATAACCAGTTCCGTTTTTTCTGTTATGTCGCTAAGATCAAAAAATATTATTTATATTTCATCAGTATGTAATTTGTATCTAAATATAATTTCCAAAACACACTAATTAAAAAAAATCGAGCGAAAAATACCGAGCAAAGCTCGGTCAACCAGGTACTAATTATCAATTTTCACTAAGAATAACACAACGAAATACTTTTTTCTCATTAAAATAGTCAAAACATAAGCATGTGCTGGTAATTTGCTCAGTACTAGATGATGCAATAACATGTCAAATGTGGCAGAGAAGCGAGGGTCAGGGTCCGGCGCTAATACTGCATGCTTTACATTAATAAGTTTCAACATAAATTGGTTAGGTACTGAGGTGATCCTGCTGAATAATGTTCGGCTGAATATTCGGTTCGGTAAAAGTTTTAATCAAATCAGAATTAATAAAAGAATACCATGTAATACTGTTCACAAAGCTGCTCTTATTACAAATCAATAATCTATTAGTCATTGAATATTATAAAATTATTTTAGAGATGTTTTGTAATATGATAGCAAGTTTTCAACTATCAATATAATATATTAAAGTTCATTAAAGTTACAGCCTATGTACATAACGCCTAAGCCTACATATGTAAGGGCTTGCTTTCATTTCTGAGAGGGTTTTAGGGCAAGGAAATGATTGCCACACTGCCCCAATGCATGTTGACGAACTCCACATATCCTTGAAATATTTTTTTCTCTTTACCTCATGTTTTCCTTATCCGCCAAGCACATAGTAAATCATCCCTTAAAACTGCAATTAATGATTTCATTGATGCCAGCGGGGATTGAACCCGGGTTGCTCGCATACTGTGAAATTTACAGCGAGCGCTGTGCCTAATTAAGTTTACCATATTTCAACATACTTTTTATACTTTTTAAAAACCTTTAGTAGAACTTACACCCATCCGATCAAGAATATACTATTTCACATATAACTAAAAGTTGATTTTTATTCATGCACAAAACCAAATGAAAGTTACATCTAAATATGATTGAAGTTTAAAGGTCATGCAAAATGAAGCATATAAAATAAATCTACCAACAAAGCAACATGCAGTGTAATGTAAAACATCTATATATATTTATAATATCTACAATACTGTTATTAATTACATCTTCATAGTAAACACAATCAGCTAGAACAACCATATCAAACTCTTGTTTATGTATTTCTGAATTGTTGTCACCCCATACTAGCACCTCTGCAATAGCGTAGCCGCCCATACTGCAAATTTTTTGTTTATTCTCACTGATGTTTAATCTAAGTAATGGTAAAGCTTCAGGTAAATCTGTAAGGGTCACTTGAGCACTGAAAAAATAATATTTACTTTAATAACAAAATATATAAAATGTAAAGTGACACAATATTTTATATAACCAACCCTAATGTTGCAGCTGTAAGACCAACAACACCTAGCCCAGAACCTAATTCTAAAACTTTGGTGCCGCTCAAAAATTCTGGTTTTTGCTGACTTATAGTTTCAAGATATTTTGCCAGCACTAAAGAAGCATCCCACACCACACAGTTTACATCGCCTTCCATTTTCTGATATATTTTTAAAGTCTTTAAGCATATTTCGATATCAATTTCTCGTGGAAAGAGATCATTCGATGATAAACTACCTCTTCTGTAAGACATTTGTAAATATAACTTCTTTTTATTGAAAAACACTAACCAGTAAAAAAATCATAAATTTTTATTGTCATATATATCACAGACTTATCTGCAATCTATACTAATAGCTGTATTCTGAATTTAATTCGAATTTTTACAATCAAGTATATCAGAATGTTCACTTCACTCCTTTTATTTTGCTTTGCAGAAAACCTTTAAATCAAGTCATAACAATAAGTGTTTACGTTACGTTTTTCGTTTTTCTCTGTCTACGGCGGTCTACAGTAGGCATGTCGATCTAAAATCGATTAATCGAAAAATCGATTCTTTGGAGTAAAATAATCGATTTTTTAGATCGATGCAGAGCACCGCATCGATTCACTGAATCGATCCAAAAACCTTTCAAATCGGACTGATTCATCCGATTCAAGAACTGGCGATAAAATTCCCAAACTGGCTGGGGTAAGACAACGCAGTTTTTTAATTTTTTGCTGTTGGGGGACGCAAAAACAACCGGTCGTAATTAGTTGATAATTTGAACGCAATATTTATTTGAATAAAATAAATATTTATGAACGCATCCAACAATATCGAAAAGTTGTAAGTTCATTTTCATTTCTTAAATTCTAATTCTAATCTTGCCTGTGGAATGTTGGTCTAACTTAATCTGTGCTGCGAACAAAGGTTACATATACATACTACAGTATAAAATTTTAGCTGTGAACTAGTGAATTTACTTTATTTATTATCAAAAACATACATACTGCGAGCTGTAAGTACAGACAGTAAGGAAATAACCAGTATTGTGTTCGTGTAGCATTCATTTCAATTTGATAAATAGTGAGTTATTAGATTGAAACAGCTTTATCGAGAAATGTAGGTTGCAGTTTTCACTTTTGTTAAAGTATTGTTGTTGTTTTTAGCCTAAAATATCAAATAAAAGTGATACACGGAATCACTTCGTAAAAAAAGGGATTGAGTGGCGTATGTGCAAACCACTCCTAACACAAGCGTTTCTAGCTTACCAGGAGTTGTTAAAAGGAATATTAGTAATGTTAATTATTAAGATTACTAATATTTTATTTAAAAAAGTTATTAAAGTTCAATTAATGAAAAAATCGCAAATTCTTGAAATTTCACGTTTGAAAATATCGCGATTAATCGAAAATCGATCTTTTAATCCTCGATTTAATCGATAATCGATTCTAGTATCTTCGATTCAAATCGATTCAGAGATCGATTTTTTTTTTTGAGTGAATCGACATGCCTAGTCTACAGTTTCGTTCATAGCTACATATTTATTTATCTATGGTTCATAGTGGTTTCGTTCAACTTCACAAATTCACAAATTCTAAAAAATGTTGCCAGCTGTTAAACTAGCTCCCCACCATATTCAACTGTTAAAACCGTAGACAGAGAAACCCATAGACAAATTGACGCCTTCTTTCACATTCGCACACGAAAAAGATAGATTTATGCATACGTCTTGCATAGAAATGAGACAGAGCGGTGTGATTGTTTTTCCCTTTCTCCATGCCGGTTTTTTGTTTAGCAAACTACACTTTTTTATATTCATACGAGGTGCAGCTATGCTGCAAATACTCTTATTTTTGGAGCTTTGAACACCGCATGCAAGTGGTGTAAAACTCTCAAGTACAAGAATGAATCTGTGGGAATGTGCTGCGATTCAGGAAAGGTCCAGATTGAACCTTTGCAAAAGCTTCAAAAAAAAACCTCCACCCTGAGCACGATCACTTCGTGGCTGACGTACGGCATTATTTTTTTTTATAGTGAGAAAATATTAGTAATCCTATTAATTAACATTACTAATATTCCCTTTAACCACTCCTGGTAAGCTAAAAATTCTTGTGTTAGGAGTGATTCACGACAGTAGTCGAATGGTGGATTCGAACCCGCGACCTTTTGAGTTCGCGGTCCGCGCCCTGCCACTAGGCTACTGTAGTTATTTTCAAATGACCTCATTTGGAGCTAAAAAGATAATACAGAATGATTTATGCCTACATTCAAAATGCAGGGCCAGGCGTATCATTTGGTTGGAAGTTTAATTCCGCCACCCCAGAATGAAACACAGTTCTTACAGATATATTTTATTGATAAGGACGATAGAGGAGTCCAATTGAGATGCAATACAAGAAATGCTACATAGTACATACTTATAATGCATACGTAAGAGAGTTAAAACTAGCCCTGGACAAAGTATCTGCTACGCCAAATACGCTATTCCTTCATAAAGGGGTTAGCATTCCTTCCTCTGTGGTGCCCACTGGAGGCAAATCTCAGCCATGGTTTGGTCGCTACTGTAAAATAGCATCATGCTATAAGTAGGAGTGCTACCAAGCCTGGGCTGATGCATCAACGTCCCGGAATGTAAACACCAGCGCTCTAAAAAAGAAGTATATTTCCTCCTCTAGGTCCTTCAAAAGAGTCATTGCCAAGGCAAAGTCAGAGCACATAGGCAGAATTGGCGAGAAACTAGTTCGCCTTCCTTCTAAGACCCCTGCATTCTGGTCTCTCGCCAAGGCTGTCCAGGGGAATTTTTGTCAGCCATCTCTTCCATCTCTGCACAGGGAGGATGACTCACTGGCCCATACCGCAAAGGAGAAAGCCGATCTGCTAGGCTCTTTCTTTGCGTCCAACTCGACTCTCGGCAGTGCTCTACCTAACTCACAGATGGGCGGAGGCAGTAGAGTCCAAGGGGGGAGGCATTGGCCGTTAGTTTGGACATTGCGACGGCCTTCGATCGGGTTTGGCACAAAGCGCTTCTTTCAAGCTCCCTTCCTATGGGCTTCCCGAGAAATTATGGGATTGGATCACCAGCTTTCTTGCAGATCGGAGCATCAAGGTTGTTGTAGACGGTGCAAGCTCCGATTACAAGCCTATTAATGCTGGTGTTCCACAAGGCTGCGTGCTATCGCCAACGCTGTTTCTTCTGCATATCAATGATATGTTGCAAGCCCGTAACATTCATTGCTATGCAGATGGCAGCACTGGTGATGATCTGTACACCGGCCGTGCCAATATTTCTCGGGAAAACGTCTCCGAGTACCGGGACAAACTTGTGTCTGAAGTCGAGTCTCTGCTGAACAGAGTCTCGGAGTGGGGGCTACTAAATCTAGTGCAGTTTAACCCCCAGAAGACACAAGTCTGCGCGTTAACCGCTTAAAAGAACCCCTTTGTCGTATCTCCTCAATTTCAAGGCACTCCCCTTGTTGCCTAAGCCAGTATCGGAATCCTCGACGTCGTCATATCGAGCGACGTGCAGTTTCGTGGTCACTTGGAAGAGAAGGCCAAATTGGCCTCTAAAAAGCTTGGCGTGCTCAGTAGAGTGGGACAGTATTTCATGCCGGCACACCGGTTGCAACTTTACAAGGCGCAGGTTCGGCCGCACATGGAATACTGTTCCCATCTCTGGGCTGGGGCTCCTCAGTACCAGCTCCTTCCACTTGACTGCATCCAGCGCAGAGCGGCTCGAATCGTCGACAACCGAGTGCTTTCCGATCGGCTCGAATCACTGGCGCAGGTGTTAAATCTTTTTGCATTTTCTTTCGCATATACCATGGGGAGTGCTCTGAGGAATTGTTCGGATTAATCCCAGCCGCCAAATTTCGTGAACGCATTACGCGGCAAACGTATATATACCACGTATATATTCATACCCGATACCATCCACACCATCTGGATGCTTGGCGGTCCACCACTGTACGTTTCAAAAGGTGTTTTCTTCCGTGTACGACCTCTCTGTGGAATAGTTTACCACCGGCGATTTTTCCGGACCGATACGACCTGGGGACCTTCAAGAAAAGAGCTTACTCCTTTCTAAAGGGCCGGCAATTCCCCTGGTGTTGCGGTTGATCATGGGCGGCGGTAGTCACTTAACATCAGGTGAGCCGCATACTCGTTTGCCCCCTCTTCTATAAAAAAGGCGATTTCCGGCAGATTTTACTAGTAATGCCTAGAGGAACGCGAGCGGACGAAGTTAAAGAGTGCGTGAAGCGGTCTCATTGTGGCCTTCAGTGACAAAACTGAGCCTTATCAAAAATGTCAATCTTAGGGGAGATGCTACTGCCGGACAGTTCTCAGACCTGTTACTTAAAATAGGAAATGGTGATTTCCCGAAACTAGATAATAATATAATTCTCCCTACAGAGTTAGGCACAATTACATTTGGTACAAATTGCCATCCTAACACGAAAAAACGAACAAGCCTCAGTTATAAATGAAATACTTTTGAGATCATTCGAAGGGGTGAAGATGTCTAATACTAATATAAATTCGTAGACTCAGTGATAAAAACCGATGATGCTATTCATTGTCCGGTCGAGTTCCTGAATACACTGAAGCCTCCTGGTCTCCCACCTCATATATTAAAATTTAGAGTTGGCGCGCCAATTAACTTGCTGCACAATATAAATCCACCAAAATTATGCAATGGCACCTAATTGCAAGTGAATCATAATGTAATCGAGGCAACTAAACTGACAGGTTGTTCTCGAGGAGAGCCTGTATTTATTCCTAGGATTCCCATAACGATTTAAATCTCGAGTGGCGGCACTTCACAGAGATTAATGCATGAAATAACGCGTTGAAACGGTCACAACGGTAATGGAGCGGAATAATAAATAAGTTATTACGTTTCTTGAGATTCTGCAAACAGAGCCATTATTGTGGGATCTGAGACTCAAAAATTTTATTTATTTATTTATTTAGGTACACAAAACAGAATAACACCAAAACATGAACAATTTAAAATAATAAATACAAAGTTACAATCTATATGGTATTCCAAAACATGTGCACACAACATGATATTAAGTAACAGTAACGATTTTACAGCACAAATAATTATAACCTTACTTATAAACATACTATATTTATGAACTTATGTTGTGGAAAATTTTGAAAAATTA